GAAGACTACTGTGTCAGTTAAGAAATAATCAATCATTTACCCACGGCATCCTTGGATGAAATCATAAAGAATAAAACCTCATTATGCTGTGCATAGAGCATGAACAGGAGACAACCCTTTACCATTAAGACATGTGCGTCATTTCCTCTTTCTCGATCTTGAGAATTTACTGGACTGAGTTTACAACAAAAAAGATGAAAAGCCAGTGCTACTTGTATTTCCTCATATGGTTGATAATGGGTAGAACGACCAAGGATAATGAGTGCAAGTGTCATCCAGACTTCTCAGAGTCACAGTAATGAGGAAATAATAATATTCCTCTTAATGTGTTGAGTACAGTATAGTTTTGTCTCTATATACAGCCTTGTTTTGCGACTCCCATGTGAACATGCCCCATGGATAGTGGACTATATTCTTGTGAAAATAATATTTTTGCATTTTACTCATCAGTCAAATTTAAAAATCCTCTTGCACAAAGATAAAGAGGGGTTGGAAGGAGTAAATTTCACCTACATGTACAAGTAATTTCATTCAAAATATTTCTTAATAATAATATAAAATTTAAAAATCTGCTTTTTTTTATAGAGACATGACCATATTGTAGCAAGATGGACACCTCAACTTTTCAGTGTATAGCTATTATGTAACAAGTAAGGCCATGTAAAATTGATTTCATGTTGATCGTCCCCGCCCGCTTCCTTTTTGGGGGCCGCCTCCTATTTTTTGTTATTTGTTTTGTTTTGTTTTGTTGTTTTTTTTTGAATTTTTTTTGAATTTTTTTTTGATTTTTTTTTTTTTGAAAGAAAAAAAACATGAAAAACACTGCTAAAATGGCTCTATTTCTGATTTAAAAAAAAAAAATTGTCGGCTGCCATCTTGAAAAAAAATAGCCTCGACTGTCGGGGAAAATGTACCGAGCGGCCATTTTTTGCGGCCATTTTGAAATATCAAATATCAAATAACATGGTACACCCTCCTCCTCTTTTTCAAAAAATCCGGACGATCAACATGTAATCAATTTTACATGGCCTAATGGGAAGTTACTGTACTATGAAACCCTATTCTCTTCTGTAAAATTCCTGGTAATTCCTTCTATTCCATTTTGTAGCTCATTGTAGCCTTATACTGTTTTCACACTGGCAATATTTTGCTTAACCCCGTACTATAGGTGGGGTTAAGGGGGGGGGGGGGGGGGGGGGGGGGGGGTCTTAGCCCCACCTATAGTACGGGGTTAAGCCTATTCCACTTTCTGTTCAGACTGGTTTTTACCAAAGTGGGCTAAAGTTGGCTAACCCCACCTATAGTACGGGGTTAACTAACCCTGCAAAATAGCAGGGCTAACTCCGCAATTGTGGTGCTAACTCCTGCTAACCCCGCAATTGCGGTGCTAAGCAAATGAATGAGAAACAGAAACGAAAAATAGTCCGGTACTACGCAATGGAGCGTATCGCAGCTGGCCAGATGCGAAGTATGTCCTATCATAACATACACGATATCAGGGGTTAACGAAATGCAGTGAGAACAGCGGGAATTTTCTTATTCCGGAATAGGCGCTAGTACGGGACTAAAAACAGCGAGTGTGAAAAGCCAAAAAAATAGTCCGGGGTTAAGGATAGTACGGGGCTAAGCAAAGTACGGGGTTAAGCAAAACCAGTGTGAAAAGAGTATTAGTATTATAATCTTCTCCTTCTTCCTGATGAGAGAACACAAGCAACAAGCTGCTAATTCTCTCAATTTTAAAAGAAGATCAGCCTTGCACATTGCAGTTATTTGATCTCCTGTTTCTTTCTACACATTTGATTTGATTTGATTTGATGTGGTTTATTGATTCAACAAATCTTAGCAGTCATAAAAACTGAATTGTGATCTTTTTTAAATGATAGTGAGAACATAATTTTCAACTTGAGAAATCTAAAATACAATATGATCATCTTTGTATGAATTGATAATGGCAATAGGTAGTCCTGAGATACATTTTGTACCTGTCAATGTGATTCAGAATGGTGTATTTATCAATGTGCAGTACAAAAAGACATCTTAGAAAAGCACAGGGCACTTGTAATCTAGTGAATTTTGACGTCTGTCACACCAACATCCCAATAAAATGCCAGAGTGCACATTGGGGCTGCTAATTTCTTCTATTTAATTTGAGTGCTGGTCAACAGACTCTCTCTCTGTCTCTCTCTCTCTAATAATCAATAGCCAAGCGCATCTGGTGGCCTTTTTAACTTCAAATAACGAGGTGGCTTTCAAGGCTAACATGAAATTCTAAATTTAATAAGAAGAGCGTGTATCCTGGAAGACCTGCGGGCAAAGGAAGATGCGATGGAGTGAGCAAGTCTTTCTGACTTTTCCCTAGCTACAAATGTACATGCATGCTACATGTACTGTACAGTGCAGGTTTTTTTTCTTCATCCAAAGCTCTTTGGAAGCGCATATATGGATGTTACATCACAATGTCATTTGTACAGTGTACATGTACTATACAAGAATTAATAGCAATTATAAGATGATGCGTGTTAGACTGTTCCAAACTTCCAAAGGTACCTTGTGTCTGTAATTCTTACTAATGCCCTCACTGCTGTGTATTATTTGTATACTTTTCACCACTATTGCAAAAAAAAAACTGTTAGTTCTTGAAACAGAAAATGTACAATTCATCATTTAGTATTCAAAAATACATTATTTACTCCTCAATTATAAATTTTGCTGTGTGATAATTTTTCATGCAGGGTAATTAAAAAGGGGACACTAATTTGTCAAATTTGTCTTTTAGAAAAAACTAAAAATTTAAGTACTAGTACAAGAAAGTACATGTAATGTCAACATAAATCAGGAGTATAAACTATTCAAATCATAAAAAAGATAAACGGAAAAGCACTGGGAAGAATTCAGACTAGTGTGTGTGGAGGTGGATTGAGCAAAACATCCAACCTATGATTTACAATCACTCTCTATTCATTTCCTATTGTATAAAATACAGTATGTACATCTTAAAGCCCATCTGAACTAGTTTGGTCAGGAGGGTTTAGACCACCCAGCAAGGTCACTGACAGGTGGTTATCTCATCAACTCAACTCTCAATTAACATAAGAAAAAGAGGATCATGGGGGACCAACAGGCACCGCTTTGGCATTGTTTTCTATATTATAGAGGGTGCAAGTAGCTACAAGTACATGTAGTACAGTGGGCTTTTAAAGTCTATTGTAATTCCATATTAAAGTGCAAGTGACCTCAATGACCTTTTGCTCTACATGTACATTGTAATATTTTTTGTTTCAATGACACTTTGCTGACATGACCCAATCAGTTCCCTTCTTAGCTCAAATTTTCAACCATGATTGACAAAAATCTGACATTCTATTTCTATTGCTCCATTCCACCACCCCCCCCCCCCCCCCATTTTCTGATTATATACTTTTCAATTCAATCTCTCTGCATCCTGCCACCTCCTGAAAAACTATTTAAGACTATTTAAGGGTAATCAAACCTTCTAACAACTGGGTGAACACAGTCAAATTAAAAAACAAACTTGTACAAATTTGAGCAATTTGGACGAACTAAACATAAGCTGATAATTCTTCTGAAGTTAGCTACATTGTAACTGTGAAACTTTGGGACAAATCTCCCTTCCTCTTCTTCACTACACATTAAATACACGGCATAATCGCATCAGTATATTCTTGTACTGTTGTACCTGTTATGTGTACATTCAAAAATTTGCAATTCTCTTCTACCTAACATTAACTTTAATTGCCTTTGCCATATACATGTAGGTTTCCAAACAACAAAAAAGGCTTTACCAAGTGATTTTGTGTGTAGGAACAAAATGATGATTTGTCTGAGACTACTTGTACATACATGTATCACACTGACAGTACTGATTTGCAAATTTTGAAAACCTACTTTTAATTTGTTCAACTTTCTATGAATCTTTCTTATCCACTTTCATTCAAAATTTCAAATATGCACCAAACTGTCCATTCTCGTTAAAACCGCAGAGCAATTTGTTGCATTTCCCTAGTATAGGTGCAGTTGAGTCTATACACTAGTATAGTATTACTTTATACACACATGCAGCTGCACACACAGGACAAAAACAAATTTTAAAAACACCAACAAAAAAACAAAAAGGATAAAAAAAATGTTGAACCCTTTCGCCTTCAACAGACGAGAGTAGCCGTAAGGTCTCGCTGGTAATGTTTTTATGATATTGATACCAGCTGGTATCAATATCATAAAAACATTAGACGAGAGGCTGCAGTGCAAGTTTTTACTTGCACCTTGTTCATTATTATATGCACCCTATCCTTAGTTATACACACACAACACCAAAGTTTTGCAACCATGGAAGAATCATGGATCGATGAACAGGCTTAGACCTACAACATCGTGTATTAAAGTAAAGTAAAGTAAAGTAAGAATCTTCAAGATTAAAGGAAGCAGTCTGCACTAAAGATGAAAAAAAAAAACATTAATTAGGCAATTCTCAACTAGTCTCATTCATTCCATTACCGATGCGGCGGCCATTGGTTTCATCCAAAGCTCTTTCTCTATCACTGACCATCAGCTCAGATTCATAGTTTTAAAGTCCAAGATAGATCTATTTTGCTTCTCCACCCTCATCAACTTTATTCTCATTATTAGTTTCCTTTAAATGGAAATGTTATGTAATAGAGCTGCAACACAAAACATTTCTGGCAGAACATCATGTAGCCCGAGACTAGATGCAGTTTAAGGCCGTGAGTGTCGTGAGCCTGCTCCTAATCATGCTAATCCTATGCACTCTGTAATTTTGCACGCCCATCCATGCAGCTAGCTCTCCTAGAATGTCGTATCAGCGGTACTCTAGTGACCGCCGACCCTTGCCACTGGGGAAGAGCAATCGCGACTTTCCGCTACAGTTACGAAACCTGCGGGCGTTTGAATTAAAACGTGTAACGTGTTGCTTGTTTCGACCATCCTGAAAATCTAACAAACTGATAAGGAAAATTACTTACTGGGTGGTGTCTACTAGGCTCTTCACTAGGCGTTAATGGTGTAGAGTACATCTTGTTCCGAAAACTTCGATGGAAATTGAGAAATCATAACAACCTTTCTCTTATAAATGTATCTCCACCTTGCAATCGAGTTTGAGATGATGAGCTATATGCTATCGAGACTAGACTTCTTCTTCTTCTTGATTTGTTTTTGTTTGGCAATCAGTCACAGTTGACTATTTTTGCCACACACTATTTTATGAATTATTTATATATATACATATATGTACAATTTCATGTCATAAATGACTATTTTTAGGATTCTTTCTCCTTCCATCCTCTTTCCTTCCTCTTTTTTTCTTTTTAGACTCTATAACTTTTTTTAGAGAGAAAATTCAATAAATTAATAATTTTGGAAAGAGACGACGGCCTAGCAAGTTGTGAATAAAAAAAAACGCCTATAAACTAAAACTAAACGTACGTACTTGTGTTTACGCGCACGTGCGCGTTCAAATATCACCTCACGTATGCACATGTGTACTTCGCACTTACCCCCACCCTTTTCAAAAGACGCTTATTAGTATATAGTCTGCTTTCAAGGTAAAGTCAAATTTAAGTGGTTGATGAAGATAATATTAGCTTACGTTTTTTCTATCTGTTTTCTGTAGACTCTCGATATAATTGATTATGACGTTTTGTATACCCAGAGTTAGAATGACAATTTCTCATCTTTGATGTAGATGTGCACACATCAAGTAAAACAGATGTGACTAACTAAAACAAAACTTGGAAATAGACTAGACAACATTATGAATAGTAAATTTAGGTGAACAGAGTTATCACAAAAAGTTCACATTGAGGATACTAAAGATGTTTGTCATTAAACACCATCATGAACTCTATACAAACATAAGTAATGACTTAATCTTTTGATCAGTCCGAGCAAAAACAAACTGTTTTTTTTTGACCGACGACTGTCAGAGAGCAAAGGATGGTCATAAACTTGATCATTTTCAGAATGTGTAGATGGCAGTATTGAGGCAGGGATCCCTGGTTGAGGGTTGTTTGCACTGCCAACTCGATCACACAACGGAGTGAGCTCAAGTTTATGCTTATCATTATAGGTCTATATTTTCTTAATTTCTACAAAAAACCTCTATCATTATTATATACCTAATTAGACAAAAAAAGTAGTATAACATAGTACACAGGAATCGATTTTGAAACATGTAGTACGTGTTACACGTAGCTAGCTAGCTTCTAATTCGGGGGGGGGGGGGGCACTAGCCCAATCAACTGGTGCTATATCGAGATCATTTCTATTTATACATGCTCATACTAATTGACGTCATAAGTGCATCTTAACTTGTATAGTCATATTTTTCTGAAATACGTATATTGTTGTATTTTAATTTTTAATTTTATAGGCTGTTTTATCATGTTCTTGTTCACATTTTGGCGACACGTGTATACTGTCGAGATGAGAATATGCCAGTTTGGTGTAATTGTTTAAAAACAAAAAGGATTACAACCAGTATGATCGCACTGTCTAACCCATATTATATATCATCGTCCATTTCAGAGCTGCAAGGTAAAAGAGAAGTGTATGCAGACGGTATTACATAGGCCTAAAATGATATTTACACTTGTGTAAGTTTTACTTCCATTTACAAGATATTACACCATAGAAAGTGTAATTGTATATTTAAATTTTCTCGAACTCGTTTATTTTTCACTCGGTCGCTCGTTCCTCGCAAAACGTTGACTGTAATCCCAGCAGAGGCGTGATCGATGGGACGCCGCTTTCTTTAACAGAAAATCTTCTTATCATGCTGAAACGCTTATGCTTGTTTACAAACAATAATTGAATAAAGACAATAAAATGTATGGTTTCGATAGATACTTTTCAATCAGCCTAAAGAGGCATGTTTGTGTAAAATATTTTTAAAAGCCAGAACGTAATGAAGCATACATTTGCATACAGTACGGTGTGCATCGACCAGGTAGGGTTAGGGTTGTTGGTTGTTGCTACTTTTAGAAACATGCCTCTTCAACTTACTGATTAAAAAGGGCCTACCATAAGTTTCCCCATTCACTTGTCTATAGAGGGCGCTTGAACTGTTTTGAGGGAGGGGGAAAGCATCGTTCAAAGCTTGTAACTTTTACTTCTTTTTTGAATATTATTATTATCGTTATTATAATTAGTATTATGATTATTATGATTATTAATATCATTCATAGTTTGTGAATTCGACAACCATTTTCTAATCAGTTCATGCAACTCATAATAAACCTTAAATTAATGTAATTCCAAGATCTAACATTGGTTTAACCAGCATTGTCACAATGCCACAATTTAAAGTAATTTATCCCACCCCCGCACCCACCTCCGATTAACCCTGGATCCGGCTTTAGGATTATTTTTAGTTCAATCCAGAATCGTCAAAAGCACATTAATATTCCCCGACAGTGAGGGTAGATATACGATCACTAAGGTCACGAAAGGTCATGTTCAGAACTCAAAGAAGGGGAGAATTACGATTCCTGTCAAATATGTGTTGGCTTGCCAATTTTAATTTCCTTGGGTTGCCAAGAAAGAGAGAAATTATATACCTGATATTGAAATAATAAACATGGGTAAGACAATGGTGCATGTATATACCATATACAAACATACGCACATGAAGCTCTTAAATGATGTAATCAAACCCGCTTTTCGTCTCTTTTGGACATCAATTTTTATCATACAAGGTGATAAATACTCTGTTTTTATGTGGCGAAACGAAAATAAACTGAAAGACTTTTAAATCTCCATAAGTTATCAGAAACATACGCCTATGTTCTGCACGAAAAGGTACAACACACTTGTTATTCATCGATAAACAAATTGGGGTACATAATTCATATTCGATCATTATAAACCTACTCACGTACAGATCAGGAATTCTAGAATAATTTTATACAGGTGAAAAGCGAGACTGACCTAAGTGTCACAATGGGCATGGCACAGGCAGTGATGGGGGCACTGGCATCGTGGGATCGGGGGAGGGGGGGGGGGGGGGGGGGCGGGGTGATTGGCGACATGCAAATTAAAATTGATATCGATGTTTAATAGGGGACGTGGATGAGGGTCTCCTTTCACCCCCCCCCCCTCTCTCTCTCTCTCTCTCTCTCTCTCTCGCTCTACCGCTCTCCACTCTCTCTCTCTTTCGCTCTCTCTATCTTTCTCCCTCTCTATCTCCCTCTCTCTCTCATCTACTCTCCCCTCTATTCCCCTCTCTCTTTCATTAGTATTTGTTTTTTATTCGAAGGGAAAACGCGCCCTGATCACTACGCCACTGGCGTTGAAGTAGTTAGATCGCTCCATTCTAAATTTCAATCGAAAATTTGAATTGGACGATTTTTGTTACTTTTTTAATTTTGAAAGTGTGTATTATCGTTAGTAAAACCTGCCCAACACCTCCTCCAGCACAAATAAAACTAGTCAAGCGACGCCCCTCTATCTCAAGAACATCGTTCCGTTTTTCAACAAGGGCTTAGCCCAGAATATTTTAGGATACCAGCGGGACCAGGGTCGTCCTAACAAGGTCGGACAAGCCCCCATGAGATCTGGACCACATGCCGTATGACGCACATCATGAAACTCGTTATTATTGATATCTACACAATATGGAATGTTTATATTATTTTCCCACGAATATTACATTCCTATTTCGCCATTGGCTTTGTTATGGCAAGTTGTGCACTTAATGGCTGTATATAAATATAGCATACAATTTTTTGTTTAAATATGTATTTATTAATACATTGGGTTCTTGTCTTTTTTTTTTTAATAAATCTGTCTTATATTCATATATTTTTCCTTCAAAATATAAAACTGCTTTTCATAAGTAACTCAGGCATACACACAACAGGCCATTATACTATCAAGCTTAAATTTGGAATCGTTGAGCTTCACCGTTACTTTTGTTTTTATTATACATACAGATCCAGATGATTATGGGCCGGCCCACCTGACTTTAAAACCATACTCACAAAACCTTATAAAGTCCTTATTATATTTAAAACGTATTAACAGTTAATAGCTATTAATCTTGCGATTAATGATAATGCTTATTACTAGAGTGCGAATAAGATAACTCTATCTCAATATATTAGTTACAAAAAAGGTGGTGACCTCATTTTCTTCATGATTATATAGGCCAAAACACTAAAGTAAACAAACAACAATATAAAGCAAACACCTGTTAAATGATTTATGTACAAAGTTCAATAACGGATTATTCGCTTCCCACAATAAAACCTGTCGCGACGAATCGCATCTTTTATTATATGACACTTCTTCCTGCTTTTGTTAAAAGCATTACTGTTTCCCATGTCTTGTTTTACCCCAAACTTGATGAACCTCTATACTTTATCTTTTTCATCGGCATTACCTTCATAGGCGCCGGAGGTGGGGGGGGGGGGGGGGGGGGGGGGCAGGGGGGCAGTTGCCCCCCCCCCAGTCAAAAAAGTGGGGGGGGGGGGCAAAACGCATTTTTGCCCCCCCCCCCCAAAAAAAAAAAAAAAAAAAAAAAAAAAAACGCCCCCCCCCCCTCCAGAAAAAAAAAAACAGTAAAGGAGTAGACGTGGTTTGTATTTTTAAACCAAAAGAACGTAACAATAATAAAAACCTGAATTAAATCACATATACAATTCCATTCAAAGAAAAAGGAAAGTTCACAGGAATTACATTTCATAAACATTTCGCATGCCACCTATACGGTATATCAATGGAGGTCTTTATAATAGCGATACGCGCATATCGTGGACATATTGGCGAGAATGGGAAAGCGTGTCCGTTTTTTTGTGATAGGGGTGGGAACACAAGTCATGAGCCCCTGAACGCTGGCGTACTGATGGGGGGGGGGGGGGGGTGATGTATTTCTTATTCGAAACAAGTGATTTACAAATGTTGATGTTGTGACATGATTTTCCGGCATTTTTCTCCATTTTTTTTGTAAGTCATACCTTTTTATGCGTTTGTTGGAAAATAAGAAATCCCAAATTACAGTCAGGCGAAATACGCTTATTTAGAAGCCTTTATGCCATGGTCTGCAAAGTGGCTGGGCTCGAGCCCCCCCCCCCTCCTTTTTGAAAAAGTATGTTAAAGAGAAAAAGAAAGAAAGACGGAGAAAA